AGTGATCATGGAGCCCAAGAAAGTAATGGCTATTGGAAAAGCCATAGCTTTGACTATACTGACTTTTGTCAGCAAGGTGATGCTGTTGAGGTTTGAGACAGCACAAAACAGACTTATTCAGTTTAATCTGTAAAGTCTTTGACTATGCTGACTTTTGTCAGCAAGGTGATGCTGTCGAGGTTTGAGATAGCACACAACATACTTATTCAGTTTAATCTCTAAAGCATGTGGGTACGTGGCCCTTGGACAACCACTCCTTAAATATCTCATTTATCTTGAAAGCCCCATAAAGTTCACAATGAGTTTCCTAATTGGATGGCACAGAGCAACTTCAAGGAGTTTTGCACTCCGACTCATGTTGACCACTCATGTTTGGTCTGCCATTTTTCTGCAATACTGTTCGTGCCATCGGTTTTCTTGGTTTGTTGTTAATTGTGGGGTGGTGTTTTTTTTAGCAGTTTTACTTTTATTTCTGGTTTTGCGTTGCTTTTTATTGTAAACCACCCAGAGCAGGGCCTTGTCACTATTGGATGTGGTATACAAATCAAGTCAATCAATCAACCAGTCAACCAACCAACCAACCAACCAACCAACCTACCTACCAACCAATCAATCAAGCTGAGAAATATGTGGGGAAGTGAAAAAGCTAAGGATTCTTGTGTTGTAGTTGGTTTTGTATTCCTAAAAGCCACGTTGCTGTACTGAAGGCCGAAGGAAATTTTCTAGCAATGCCTCCCTCCGTTTATACTGTAAATGACTAGATCTTTCCATAGTTAGTTAACCTTCCCCTCCTCTCATAGTCACATGCAAGATGGACTTAATGGCCCTCGTTTTCCATATCTGTTAGTGTCAGACCAGTTCCCGTTTCGTGACTTCATTTTAATTGCCGACTCATGCAGGCAGATCTCCATCATCTGCTTATGCGAAAGTGGCATAATGAAGTTGAGCCTCCGTAGGGGAAGACCTCCGATGACTTCTGTTAAGAACAGCTGGCTGGACTAAGAAAGAAAGAAGCCATCAGCAAGTTAGATCATGTCCGTGTGAACATTTCATGTAAAGACCAATTCACAATGCTTCCAAATTCTTAATTGGATTCCCACTGCTGACAAAAATGGATACAGAGACAAGCTGGATTTTTCTATGAAGGTCTTGAATTATATAGCGCTACAGCGGTGCATCAACCTATAATTATACAAGAATCTTGACAAGGGTGTTATATTAACTGGCAACCCAAACAGTGGGATTTGTTGGTTTAAGTTCCCAAAGGGCATCAGAAACTGTGCATTCAGAAATTATTAAGGTTTTTCTTTAGACCTTGATGTATAAATGTGGCTGTCATCTCTGCCTCTTTTGTAATCCTTCCGATCCTTTAAGACCTGTTTGTCATGCTCAGATTTTGTATGGGAAGTTTTTCCTTACATAGACGACTTTCCAGTTGCCCAAATCCTGTTGCTTAGCATAGTAAATTGCACTAGATTAGATCCATTGAAGAAGGGGAAGGGGGTGTTGATAGATCAATTCCTCCATATTGTCCATTTATTCATATAGGCCTACTTTAAGCCTTACTTTAGCATAGTAAGTTGCAGCGAGAGTCAGCTCCTTTGAATCAATGGAACTTGTGGAGGAGTTAATTCACTAAACCCCATTGATTCAAGTTGGCCTATTTTAGTGCAGTTTACTACACTACACAATAGAATCATGTGGTTGTCAATCTATTGCTTTTTCAGTTGTTTTAATTACAGTAGAAACATGGTATCTGCGGGGGATTGATTCTAAGCCCCTCCGTGGATGCTGAAAACTGTGGATATAGTGAACCATACATAATATGATCTCTGTCTCCCTCTAGTGGCCAGTTCTGGTAAATACACTGTTGTTTTTTAAATTTAATATTTCCAGGCAGCGGATAAGTGAATTCACAGATACTGATCCCATAGATAGGAGGGGAGTACTGTTTTTATTTTAAATTACACTTAAAATACAATAAATGTAAACAGCTGTTCCCCCACAATGAACACCCTAAAAGCAAAGCCTTAAATAGAATGAATAAATGTTACTTGTCACACATTTTTAAAAAGGTAGCAATGTTACCAGTCATTGCATTACCCTTTAAAAGTAATGTTGAGGTAACATTACTATCCAAACGAACATGCTACAGCTAACATTATTACTTGCCGTGCATTATTTCCAAGCTCTGTGAACGTCTTTCTCAAGGCGCTTTGGGGTGAATCGTTGTCAGAGTGAGTTTGTTCAAGAAATGCTTTCCATGGAAGGGTTTCGTTCTTTCTTCAGACAAATCTGCCTGAGAGCAGATAGAAACGCACAGCTACCTTCGGAAAGCAAAAAATGAGCAAAGCGCTTTAGACAAAATGTAAAGAATAGAAATAGGACAGTAATTATTTAAATACGTTTCTCTGTCTTCTTTCAGGCGGGCAGGCTGCTGAAACTCCAGGCCTTTAACCAACGAGTGGTAATTTACTAGCAAAATGGGGCATATTAACAATGTTGGCCATAGTTTTTACAGTAATTGAAGGGGTAGTTTCCCAGAATCAATGTTACAGAGTTAGGAAGCACTCCGACTTCTGTTCAGGTTAGCCAATCATAGAGGATTATGGATTTTCCACCTCTGTTGTCCCCCCCCTTCCTTGGGTAAACAGACAATGGCGTATCTGTTCCAGGTATCCAGGAGAAATAGATTAAGATCTTTGCACATTTCTTTTGAATGCGTTGTAGATGACTATCGCTCTCCAGGTTTTGAAAGCTTAGAAGAATAGCTGACTGTGCAAATACAATCGCAGGTCCTTCTACCAGAAAGAGGCACATACTCTACAGGAATAAATCTGGCGTTTCCTCTGAGTGTTGTACTTTGCTGGGAGGGTCACCCCAGTCTGACCCTGTCCATAAAGCAGAGCTGTATGTAGGCCTTAGATTTTTGGAATTCATGGATGACCGCTCCCAGAAGTCTGCAGGAATGTCCCCTACAAGGCCTCTGAAGGTTTCAGCCAACCAACCAACCCACCCACCCACTCCCCAGTTCTTTCAGGCAGTGACTAGATGGTGCTCAATTCCATGAGAACTGCAAGGCATTATGAGCCTGGTAGTCTCTCTCTTTCTGCCTATTATGCTCCAAACAGGGCGCTAGAGATGGG